AGTGCATTACACCGTTTCTCAAGGCAGAGCCACAGCCTCCAAGGAGAGACTCAAGGCAGACAGCCTGGGCTTCCCCAGCCCACTCGGAAATGTCAGCGTGGAGAAGCAAGCCCTCACCTCCATCCTGCCTCTCGGCCTCCCCTCACCATCACACAAGACGCCAGGGGCAGGCAGGGGACAGCAGCGCCAAGAGGGAGTGCCCTGCTTGCAAAGTGCTTGCAGAGTGCTGAGCCCCTGGTCACTGGAACAGCTCGAGCAGGGCTGAAGGGATGTTGGAGGGATGACTCTGGCCAGCCATGGAGGGGGTGACCTGAGACTCTCTGTAGTGCTGAAGTGCCCACACTGACTCGGTTCTCACAGCCAAGAGTGGCCGGGCCCTGCTCTGGTCTGGAGGCAGCAGACACCTCTGCCAGCCCTGGAGGCTGTTCCCATGGAGACTGGCAGGTGAGTGAGGCAGGAGGAGCGATGCACGGAGGTCTCTAGAGGGGTGGCCCTGTGCCGAGCAGGCCCTGAAGGCAGGGTGCGCTTCAGGCCCACAGAGGAGGGGGCTCCACTTCCTCAGAGACTGGGGATCTGGACACAGGGACGGAGACCAGGACTCCCACCCACAACCCCACCATCACTACTCCTCAGGCCGGAAGTCACCAGGATGCTGCGCCCGCCTCCTGCCAGAGTCCCCAGCAGCCTGTGTGTATGTATGTGTGTGAGTGTGTGTGTGTGTGTGTGTATGGGGGGATGGGGGACTGACCCATCTGGAAACTTCTCTGTTTTTCAAGTTTTAGACAAACGCTGCATGCACACTAAGTCACTTCAGTTGTGTCCGACTCTCTGTGACTCTGTGGACTGTAGCCCACCAGGCTCTTCTGTCCACAGGATTCTCCAGGCAAGAATACTGGAGTGGGTTGCCATGCCCTCTTCCAGGTGATCTTCCTGATCCAGGGATCGGACCCGTGTCTCCTGCAGCTCCTGCATTGCAGGAAGATTCTTTACCTCTGAGCCACTGGGGGAAGCCCTTCAGACAAAGGAAAGGGCCTCAAATTCCCATCTTAGGGGGAAAGGAAATTGGGAATTTTCCCTCCGCACTGCTCCTCCTCCATCTTGTCCCCATCTCTGGACCCAGGGTGAAGAGGTGAAGGAACATCTCTGAGACCCAGTTAGTCCCTACCTTCCACCCACTTGCACCCCCATTCCAGGATATGATGTCCAGGGCTGGCCAATGACCTCCTGGGGAACTTCTGGATCCACCAGGCTGCCTCCACCACCAGAGCAGAGAGGTTGGGCTGAAGATGTCTCTGGGGAGCCCTGGAGCTGAGGACTTCCTTCCCCCGTCTTAGTAGCTGCCACCCTCCCAACCCTCCAGGGTCCACCTGCAGCCCCCTCCCGCTCTGGAGCCGTCCTCCCTGAGGGGCGTTCCTCTTTCCTCTCCTGTCTGTGGCTCAGCCCCACAGCGATCCTGACGCCCAGCCCACCCTGAGGAGACCGCCTGCCTCAGGGCTCCCTCGGCCAGACCCGGTGGGTCCCGCTCCCCTCCAGCCAGGCCGCTGGCACTCGGTAGGTGGCCCAGCCCTGAGCACGGAGCCCGCCACCTGCCTGCTCAGTGCCCAGCAAAGACTCCTCTTGGGGAGACGGGGCCCAGTTCCGAGACTGAGGGTGGGCCTGGCTCAGGGGTCCCCAGTGTTGGGGAGGGGCTCAGAGACAGACAGACGCTCAGTCCCACCCCAGAGAGGACTCTGTCTCTGTGGTTCCCGTAACCCCTTTGGAGGAGACTCCTTCCCCTGCATTGCTCAGGAACACCACACCCCCTCATTTCCTTCAATCCCAGAGCTGGAAGACCCTTCGAAGTCAAACCTCCCCATTCTGTCCGCCAGTTTCCAGGGAGATGGAGGCCCAGATGGGGCCACCTTATTGGAGGTCACAAGCCAGAACTGGGGCCCGGCAGCCCAGTCCCTCCTCCCAGGGGTCTTTCTGCGCTCTGGGCTCTGTCTCTCTCCACCTCTCCTCCGCCCCTCTCTCCCTCCACTGTGGAATCAGGACCCCTTCTCCCACCCTAGTCTTGAGGCGGATGTCAGCAGAGGCTTGGATGATTCCAGTCAAGGGTCTGAGACTTTCCAAGGAGCTTTCTGCTGCCTGAGTCAGAAAGGAGTCTGCGAAGGGGCCAAAGGCAGTTCTTGCCTGTCCCCTCCAGGCCCTGCCCAGACCACACAGGCTTCCCTCCCAGTGGGGTCTGTTTGCCCACACACTCACCTTGGCTAGAGTGAGGCCTCAGTAAGTGGCCCTGCATTCATGAGAGGGAGGGGGATGTCAGCACTGAACAGGGGCCGCCAATGCCGCAGCATCCAAAACAGGACACGCACACGCACTTATCCATGTGCCAGCCTTACGCACACGTGCACACACTCACACATGCATGGGGCTTGGGCACACCTCAAATGTTAGAGTTTGTTGCTGCAAGAAGTGTTATCCTTTCTCCTTGGATTTCTCTTAGTCAAAACTCAGCTTAACATCCCACCTCCTCACTCCAAATCAACACAGGCCAATTCGTCTCCCTTTCTTCCCAACTGTCTGGGTGTTTTCATTTGAATAAATCAGCAGGAAAAAGATTTTTAAGGCCTAAGTTCAAAGCCCTTTCCCCATCTTTGTGATGTATAGTTATAAAAATAGTGCTAAGAATAGAAAGTGACCTTTATTTCTAATCTATAGTCTTTGATGACTTCTGTCTTTTCTTTTCTCGAGAAAACAGATTTTTTTTCCTTGGCTATTAAAAATAATACATGTTCATGTAAAAGTATTCAGACAATAACAGAAAAAGTCTAAAGATATGAGTCAAAAGCATCTGAAATTTCACCTCTGAGATAGCAACAGATAACCCAGTGAATATTCTTCTGGACTTGAAAAAAATGCGCACACACACACAAGTACACAGATATTTTTAAATAAAAAATGCCAGAGCAATAGGCATGCTCTTTTCTGGTCTGCCTTTCTCTCTCAACAATATATTATAGACATCTCTAAATGGCAGCAGCAACTCCCGCTGTGGGGACATTTGGCACTTTCAGCCTCTCTGACTCATGGTTTACTCTACTTCTTAGCACCTCGCAGTAGAGAGTGAATTTGTGGGTGTCCTGCAGTGGGGGTGAGGTGCTGAGAGTGGGTCTCTACTTAGCACAGCATTTGTAGACAGAACAGGGCCCTGCAAAGTGCTGAATCCATTCGGCTGAACTTTGACTGGCCTCACGAGGCCTGAGAGAAACAGGAAACTCAAAACATGTTTAAAGAAGGACTTCCCTGGCAGTCCATTGTTCAAGACTCCTCACTTCCACTTCAGGGAGAGTGGGTTCCATCCCTGGTTGGGGAACTAGGATCCCATATGCCGTGCAGTGTAGCCAAAAGCAAATTTTTTTTTTTTTTTTAAGACCAAAACTACTAGAGAGACAGGGTAATGGATCCAGTTGTAGGATTTTTCACTGGGGGAGGGGGCTCCTGCCAAACTGAGCTCAGAGCAGGGACCCCTTCTGGGTCTGATGGGGCTATGTGCCCAGGGAAGATGCATTTGGGAGCAGGCAGTTCAAGAAGCAGTCTGGAGGCATGCCTCCAACTGGGGTTGGGTTGAATTCAAGGAGAAGGGTTTCGACTTTTTTCTTGGATTTATTTATACCCAACCTCTTTCTAAAAAGGTATTATAGTAGCTTTCCACAAAGGACATATACAAAAAGGTCAGGCAGCTAGAAATAGAAAATCAGGCCCAGGGACAATTTCCACCTGAAGTGGAGGGCCACACAGGAAAAGGGCCCTGCTTCTCCCAGCTCCTGGGGATGAGCTGAGAGAAAGCAGAGTGATCCCAAAGGGGAGGAAGAGACGGAGAGGATCTGGCTGACATGAACAAACACTGCACCCAAAGTAAAAAGTCTAGATTCATCTCCAGGTTCTTCCCCATTGTAACTATATGAGTTTGGGTAACCACAGCACCTTGATGAACCTCAGTTTTGTCATCCGTAAACAGGAAAATAAAAATATCTGAGGGACTTCCCTGGTAGTCCAGTGACAAAGACTCCACGCTTCCAATTGCAGGGGGTTTGGGTTCGATCCCTAGTCAGGAAACTAAGATCCCTCATGCTATAGCTAAGATCTGGTGGGTGCAGCCAAGTAAATAAATACTTAAGAAGAGAAATATCTGAGTCACTGGAAGTGTGTAACATAAGACTCTGTTCCTGGGTTATCTGTTGTTATCTCAGTTACCTGACCCACTTGTACAACTGGCATTGAGATCTGCACTTGGATGGCATGGTGCACACGCTTCATAACTGTGCCCCTGGGAACAGGCTGTCCTTAGAGGAGAAGTGAAAGAGGGAAGAATCAAAATACGTTCATGGTGCCTGCCAGCTCCCTGCCCTCTGAAGTGGGTCCACCACAGCCCCCAAGCAGCCACGTTTTTTAATAATCATGGCCCCTTCCTCCAATCCAGCTGATTAGATCAGGGGTGCACTTCACCCAAGGGCAACCAAGCAGGAAGTTGTCCAGTGAGGTAAGTACAACTGGGCACAAAACAAGGAGCCAGTCCAGTGGGCACTTCTCTAGAGAAGCTGAGTCAGTGAAGGCTGGGAGATGTCCCTGGAAGGTGGTGAAGGAGACTTAAGAGCTGGAGAGGTCGCCATACCTGCAAAGCAGAAGTCATGAAGGAGTTGACACTATGAGTCAGGACAGAGCCGTGTGGGTAAAAAGATGCAGATGCTGGGAAATGGCAGAGTCATGCCAGGGTGATTTTCGATTTCCGTTCGAACAAACCACCCCAACCTCAGAGTCTTTTTTTTTTTTTTTACTTTATAAATAATATCTGTCAATTTATTTAAAAAATGGAGCATACTGAACAACAAACTATTTTACATCTTTAAGGAAGAAAAAACACTAAATTTGAAAAGACATCACCCACTGAATTTGGACACAACACCTCTACTCAATTAAGAGAAACATTTGTACAGTCCAGGTCTTTATTTTTACACCCTTCAGGCCATGAATTCATAGGGAATGGGTTCCAACAGTTCGGGTTCCTTTCCATTGGTCCTCACAAAGTGTGCTTCTCTGGGTGGAGCAGGCTGGCGCTTCAGCTGAACCCAAGTCCCTTTCTCTTTGGCTTCCTTCTTTTTCTGATCATTTTCTTTCACACATTTTAGGAAGCTATCTCAGCTCTTAGAGTGCTTAATATGCTCGATACGCACATTAATTGTCTTGGCAAGAATCTTGCCCTTAACTTGTTTGTTTACAATGATGCCAACAGCATGCTGGGTAACACTGTAGACTCTCCCAGTTTTGCCATGGTAACATTTGTGAGGCATTCCTTTTTGAACAGTACCCATTCCCTTGATATCTACAATATCACCCTTCTTGTAGATTTGCATGTTTGTGGCCAAAGGAGCAATTCCATGTTTTCTAAAAGGTCTAGAGAACATGTAGCAGGTGCCCCTCCTCTTTCCCTTTGTGTTGGTCATTTTGGTGAATTACTGGAAGATGGCGGCTCCAGACGAAAAGCAACCTCAGAGTCTTAAAACAACCGTTATTTTATTTTATTCTACCCCATGACTATGTGGGTCAGGAATCTGGGCAAGCTGGGTCTGGGCCACATTCTGCTGATCTCTGTGGCATCGACAGAGGTGTTCAGTTCGTGGACGGGCTGTTCTGGAGGGTCCAAGGTAGCTTCACTCTCATGCCGAGTTATCTGCAGGAGATGGCTGGATGTCTCGACTGGTCTGAGATGGTTGACTGCTGCTCCTCACTCAGGCCCTCCGGAGTGTCAGTCTCCCGGGAGTTGGCTCAGGGCTCCCAGAGAGAACATTCCAGAAGGCCTGAGCTGATGCTGCCAGGCATCTTCAACCCAGAGTGGCACATTCTATGGGCGACGCAAGGCACTAAGGCCAACCCAGATTTGAGGGGAAGGGAGCTGGGGTCCCCTTCCCAGTAGGTAGGACAACAAAGGATTTGCAGCCATTCCCTAGTGGCTCTGATGGCAAAGAATCTGCCTGCAATGCAGGAGATCCAGGTTTGATCCCTGGGTTGGGAAGATCCCCTGGAGAAGGGAATGGCAACCCACTCCAGTATTCTTGCCTGGAGGATCTAATGGACAGAGGAGCCTGGTGGGCTACAGTCCATGGGGTCAGAAAGGGTTGGGCACGACTGAGTGCCTAACACTGTCGCTTTCAGCTTCACTTACTGTGCCAGGTGAGGAGCATATAATCTCCCAAAACTACCGTGAATCCAGAATACCCATCTGGTTGAAGAAATCCCCCCCTCTAACAGCTCTTGTGTTCAGCTTTCTGAGCGCGTCTGTCCCCTTCACTACACAGAGCCTCACAGTAATGCTCCTGAGCGTGAACGGGCTTCAGGGAGTCTCTCTTCTTTGTACCCAATGAGCCAGCCCCAAGCAGTGCTGGCCTCCAAGCTCTGGAAGAGAAATCCCAGGCGCGGCAGCAAGAAGTTACCCAAGGTGTGAGCTGATAAGGCTGGGACATGGAGCCACCATCTTGTCACTTTTCTGAGCCTGTTTCCCCGTCTGAAACATGGAAATGAATCTCTCTGCTCCATCTGCCCGTTACTACCAAGTAACATGATCACCTCTCTTCCTGTCATTGGCCTGATCTCCTAATATGTCATCTCATGGCACATGCGCCCTTGATTTGGGGTCACTTCACAAACCTTCACAGGAGAGTGAATTTTACTCATCTCTGACTGCCCCCATGATCTTGGCAAGCCTGTTTCTCTCAAGGAAAGCATAGGATTTTTAGGATTCTGAGAGGTCTGGGAAAAAGGAAGTGAAGTGAAAGTACCTCAGTCGTGTCCAACTCTTTGCTACTCCAGGTACTATACCATCCTTGGAATTGTCTAGGCCAGAATACTGGAGTGGGTAGCCTTTCCCTTCAGGAGATCTTTCCAACCCAGGAATCAAACCCAGGTCTCCCACACTGCAGGCGGATTTTTTACCAGCTGAGCCACAAGGGAAGCCTGGACAAAAGGAAAGGTTGGCACAAAATTATTTGAGGGACGAGGCAGTTAACTGGTGGTGAATAAGGGAGGCAGTCCCAGTTAGAGTGCAGCGTGGGGCTTTGGGGCAGGACAGGAACACGGAGACTGGGGGTGGGGGAGAAGGAGCCTGTGGGAGGGGTGGGGCGGCTGGTAGAGTTGGTACAGGCAGTGGGGCAACTTTATTTCTCTTTCTCTGGCTTCCTTCCCCTTCCTTGACCCTTCTAAGTTTTTTGTTTGTTTTTTTGGCTGTGCTCGGTCTTTGTTGCTGAGCGCAGGCTTTCTCCAGGTGCAGCGAGCGGAGGCCACCCTTCCTCACGATGCTCGGGCTTCTCACTGTGGTGTCTCCTCTTGTTACAGGCTGCCCTGTAACAAGCCTGCCCACACAGGCTCTGTGAGTGGTGGCTCGCAGGCTTAGCTGCCCTGCAGCATGTGGGATCTTAGTTCCCAGGCCAGGGGTCAAATCTGTGTCCCCTGAACTGGCAGGAGGACTATCAACCACTGGACCACCAGGCAAGTTCTGAGTCTTAAGTTTTCTCACTCCTCCTGGCCTGAGCATATTCTGTTTCCTCTGCTTGGAAGATTCTCTCTGTCCCCAAACGGAAACTTCTATTCTTCTTTAGGTGTCTTCTAAGTGACTCTTCTTCAGAGAAGTCTTCTCTGAAGCCCCAACCAAATAACACCCTCTTACCTTTTTTCCACAGCATCAGTTTCCGTCACAGCACTAATTGTGTTCACAAGGATACATTTTCCAGTGTATTTAATTATGAACCTAGTGTCCATCTCCCCCACTAAACAGGAGCTCCCACAAAGGCAGCATTTAGCTAGCATTTGTGGAAGGAACTAATAAACAAGGGCACCCAAGTTAATTGGACTAGAGACCAAGAAGCAGGCCCCCACTGTCCAGACCACAGAGCAGGATCCATGAAATCAGGTGCCAAAGGGAAGAAGGGGCCTGAGCAGGACCCCAGGCCTCCCACCCACACCCGCTCCAGGCCTGGCTCACCTGCCACCAACACACACAGCCTGACCCCAGATGCTAGAACACTGCAGCTTTATTGATTGAAACAACCGCGTCCGCAACTAGAGGTTACATTTGGGGGGGTGGGGGAGGCATGGGGTGAACAGGGAACAAAATGGGGGCAGAGGCTGGGGTGGAGACAGAGAGCAAGGCAAAGGGGTGAGGACGGGGTCATGTGACTGAAACAACCCCGGTCCGTTCCACCCGTGACTGAGGGTCTCCAGTTGTGCTTTTACCGTGGTGGTGGGGTGGGCCCGGGCAGAGAGGGGCTGGCTTTCTCCTGAGTCTCTGAGGCCTCAGGGCTGGGGCAGTCCCCTCCTTCCCTGCGCTTTCTCCTGGGTTAGGGATAAAGGCCTCGGTGAGCTGCCTGCCCTGGGACAGGAAGGATGCTCAGAGGCCACCAGGGCAGAAGGGCCAGCAGAGTAGGACTGAGATGATGATTACTGGGTGGCTGGGGCGTGGGGCGGGGGGGGGGGGGGGGGGGCGCGTGCCAGGAGGCAGGGCATTCCCAGGGGGGCCCCTTGGAAATGAAGGCAGGAGACAGGAGGGGAGGGGGTCGGGTGTGGGGGGCAAGGGCCATCTTTCTGAACCTCAGCTTTCTCACCTGTTCAGTGGGGGCACTGGATTAAGTGGCTCCTAAGGTCCCTTCCAGCTCTAAGGGTCAAGGGATCCCCAGGAAAAGTGGGATCCTTCTGCCCCAACATACACCCTCACACATACACACATTCTTGCACACCCTGTCTCTCACACGCACACACACATCCTCTTGTAGGGGTACACACACAGCAGCACCGAGCCTGCCTTGGGAATTGAGGGGGGCTTCCCTGCACCCAGAAACTCGGCAAGCAGGGACTCTCCAGGGCAGGTACAGCCATCCCGTTCCTGAAGACAGACCCTGGAAATAGCCCCTCTCCCCTTTGAGCTGTCGAGAGAAGAAAACACAAGGGTTATCCCTGCTCCCCCAGGCTCCCCTGATCCTTAGGGGGAAAGTCAACAGGACGAGGACGCCAGGACCCACTGACCTGCATTCCCAGCCCAGGTTCATGTGAAGACAGAGGGGAAGGAACACAGAGCCCCTTTCATGGGGGAGCCCTGCGGGGGGCGGGGGGTGGGCAGCAGCTGTAGCCAGTGTGGGTGCCTCCGTGTGGCACCCAGGCCTGACCTGGGGAGGGAGAGGCTGTGGCCTGGGACATGAGGCCAGAATGAGGGCAGGGAGGCAGTCCCGCTCCCAGGGCAGGGCCCGGGAACAGCCGTAACATCCGCAGCAGCCCCCGGAGACAGGGCTGTCTGACCAAGCTCCTCCTGGCTGCCTGGCTGGGCAGCGGCCACAGGTGTGACACCCCAGGGCTGCGGAGCCTGGCTTCCAAGGCTGGCTCCACCTCAGCCGGCTGTGTGAGCTGGGCCAAGACCCCCGCTTCCCTGCTTCACTCTCATTCAACCCGTGAGGAGTCTGGACCCCAGCGGCCCTTCCCAGCACTGACGCCTGAGCCGGGGGCTTTCACTGATAATGGGGAAAGGGAATGAGAAAGAGGAGTCCCAGAGAGGGCAGAGGCGGAAGGTGTGTCCCAGGAGGAGGGGGCTCGGTCAGCAGGCTTAGCTCCGTGCCCCGGGAGGCCGTCTGTCGTCCCAGGAGCAGGACAGCCAAACTGAGACTCGCTCTCTCCCACCCAGACCGCACCTGGCCCCAGGAGTCCCTCTGTCTCCCAGACACCAACCTGGAGGGGACAGGGCTGAAGGACCCCAATACCCTGAGGACGGACCCTGGACTCCCCATTTTAAGGCCACAAAACGCCTCAGCCACCCTGACCCAGAGGGCGAGACTGCCACTGGGGAGATGCACTGGATCCAGCCAGTCTGGTCTCCCCCCGGGGCGGGGGTCCTCGTGGGCCACCTACTGACACACGGATGCTGACACTCACTGGCACACAACGACGCACGGGACAGAGGTGACACTGACGCAGAGGTGCTGACTCACAAGTTCCCCAGGGACACGTGCTGACACTCACTCTTGCAGACCCCTCATACACACACACATGCACACACACCCATGCACAGAGGCTAGCACTCCCCGAGGCGCACACATCACACACTGCTCACGTCAGCACACACTAACACCCGCATCCCCTACAGATCTGCTGGGACACGCAGACACACGCGGGGACCAAGGACCTCAGAGGCCCCCTCGGGCGCCCTGTGAGCCCCGGTCAGGCCAGCCTCCAATCAGGGCTCCCACGGGCCACCTCGACCTCCCTCTGGCGGTTCCCCGTTTCTGCCCCACCCTGCACTCTGTCCATGTGACCCAACTGTCCCCTCTCTCCAAACAGACCAGAACTCGGGGGGGCCATGAGTGGGAGGTTCAGCTCAGCTGACGTACGCCACGTCCCTTTTCTGTATTCAGCTCTACAGATGTGGAGGTGAGCGAAGGAGACCAGCTCCCCATCACGGAGCAGTCAGAGCCGGGGACAGATGTATTCAAAGCCCATCTGAGGGCAGTAGACACGGCACCATGGAACCCCATGGAGGAGGTGCTCTGAATGTTCAGTACCCACCCAGCCAGGGCACGGAGGGGGCACCTGGCAGGTGACAGGTCAGTGGTTCCCACTCTCAGGTTCTCCTGAGGAGCTTTTAAACATGCCTGATGCCAGGCTGCACTCCAGTCCAATTAAACTGGCACCTCTGGAGGGGGCCCTGAGCGTTGGCAATTCCTAAAAGACCCTCTGATGACTCTATTCTGCAGCCAGGCCGGGAACCACTGATTTCTATAATCCATCCCACTGGGCAAAGCCGACAGAGAGATTTCTGTAACAGGCCCACTTGTGCTGGGTATGAGGTGGGGATGGGTCGGGGGAGGGTTGGAAGGCTCAGAGGAGGAGCTCACAGTCTAGTTGGGGCAGCAGACCCTGCACAGATGGGACAATTAAGGAACAACGCCCACAGACGCGATGAAAGCATGCTCTGGGAACCGGAGACACTCATCTAAGACAGGCCTTGGCGGGGCCGGGAAGGCGGCCGTGCTGGTTGGTTATCAGGAGGCCCTGCTCCAGCCCTGGCCTGGCCACCCAGGTGGTGGTGATGATGATAACTCAGGCCTGGCAAAGCAGAGATGGGCACGTTTGCTTTGGTTTCCTGCCTGCCTCCTGGCATTGCAGTGCCTGTCTCTCGTCTGCAGCTGTTCCCAACAAATGCTCCAGGAGGAGCCCCCTTCATTTCCATAGGGTCATCTGTAAGCTTCGTCTCTCATCGGGGATAAAAGGTAAAACTTCAGGTGGCAGCAGGGCACATGAGACTACGCAATAGGGCTGAAGTGGCATTCTTGGCCAACGCTCCACATCATTCATTCATAAAGACGGACGTGCTGACATCCGCAGGCACTCACAGAGGGGGGTGAGACCCAGCCTCACGTACAGATAATTGCACACATAGATGTATATTTGCACACACTCCTGTCAGAGATGTACCCACCACAATGGTAGACAGATGCCCACATGTGCTCACACGTGCACACACACACGGCCACATGCACACATGCATAACAATCCACCCTGGAAAGGGCTGGGCCTCTTCTGTCCCATGGACAGCTGGGAGTGGGGCTCAGGGGTGACGGTGAGGGGGAGGTCTAGGTCCCCTCATGCCCATCTCAGCCCCCCAATTCAAGACCAAGAGCATGGAGCCTCTTTTCAGCTTGGAGGCATGAGCCTCAGCTCCCAGGGAATATGGTGACCAGCAACTGTCCCCTCAGGCCATCGACAAACCCCTCTCCTTCACTGACCCTGGGTGGAGAAGGAAGAGAGAAGCAGACCCTGCTTTGCGGTGGAGAACAGTGCAGCCCCGCCACACCCCGCCCAGAGCACCCCTTCATGGCAGGGATATAAGAAACAGAAGATTCACTCTACCCCTAAAATCAGCACCCAGTATGCAGGCGTGAAATCATAAAGGCAGGACTTCTCTGCTCCTCTCAAAGTCAAACCTCACCCCAGAAAATGGCTTGGCCACCACCCCTCCCCTGGCTCCTGGGGATGCAGCGGGGACAGGGGTGGGGGGCTGAGGTTAGGCCCGTGACCAGGGTGGGGGCTGTGTTCTCAGGAAGCCAGCTGCTTGTGGGGGATGCAGTGGGAGGGGATGGTGGGGAGGGGTCCAGGCCCAAGACCCTGCACTGGCTCCCTTTAAAGGGGGCACAGTGGTGGTGGCGGGGGAGGGGGGCACAGATACGACACCCCAGGAGTGAGTGGGCCAGGCGCTGGGGGTGACCTGGGCTCTCCGGCGTCTGGCCTCCACTCTGGGAACCGAGTTCCGTGCAGCTAGTGCCTTGCCTCGCGTGTCATCCACACAGCTCACAGAGTTCCTCGTGGCCCCTCGATCCCAGGCTCCTCCGTCCCAAGGAGTCCCACAGTCCCGCCCAGGGCAGAGCTCCTATGCCCGCTTCCCTTCTGGCTCCTGCTGGGGAAGGAAGCCACTGGGCTGAGCTGAGCCTTGAGTCGGGGCCAGAGGAAGGGCAGAAACACGCCGCGGCTGCAGCCCCGACAAGGACCATGTGGCGCCAAGGTCCCTGGGGTGGTGGATGCCATTCAGGCGAGTCCCCTGTCTCTGCAGTAAAGAAGGTGCTGGCAGGTTGGATAGAAACTTGTGCTTTAATAGATCTGTGTGTGTGTGTGAGTGTGGGTGTGTGCGTGTGTCGAACAACTGTCTCCGGGGTCTCAGTGCTGGGCCTTTGTCCTTGTTCTCTGCTCCTCGCGGCCGGCGCCGGCCCCCTCCCTGGCGGGCGGCCCTGCCCCTGGGCACCCCGGCTGGCGTGGGGTCAGTCTTTGGTACGATGCGGACACTTTGGTGTGCCGGGGGGGCGGGGTGGGGGCGCCATGCAGCTCTCATCATCTCTGCAACGCCAGGAGGAAGGCGGCCACAGGCCCCCAGAGCTGCAGGAGGGGCTGGCGGGGGGCTGCACTGCCCGGCATCACCACCACTGTGATGGGAGAGAGAAGGGACACAGGCCGGGGCTCCGGTCAGCTCGGCAGGGCCAGGGAGGGGCAGGCGGGCCATGCGAGGGTCGTTCCTCTGCCCCCACTCTGTGCACACAGACACACTCGCAAGACGTGAGGTGGGGGTTAACTCTGCCTGTGGGGTCCAAATCCTGGCCTGTGGCTCACTAAGGAAGATACAGAGCAACTCATTCGACCTCAGGGACCTCAGCTTCCTCATCTATAAAATGAGTCTAATAGGGAACTTTCCTGGTCACCCAGCGGGTCAGACTCCACGCTTCCACTGCAGGAGGCAGGGCTTCGATCCCTGGTTGGGAAACTAGGGATCCCACATGCCTTGTGGTGTGGCCAAAAAGAAAAGAAAATGGGGAATGATAAAAATAAATAAAGTAAAAATAAAATAAAAATAAAATGAGTGGAAGAAGGGCCACTCCGGAGGACTGTGGTGAGGAATGAATGAGACCATACCTATACAGGTGTCTATACCTTGCCTGCTATGTGGTAATTACTTGGTAACCTCCAGCTGATATTATCGCAAACACCTGGCCCCCAATGTGGGAAGGGGTACAGGTTTCACACTTGGACACACACACACACAGATGTTCCCAGACACAGACACTGCTACTGTAAACTTAGCTCACCGGAGGGTCTGGTCGTCTCATTGTCCATGCAGCCCACAGCCTGAGCCGGGGTGGGGCCCGAGGTGAGTACCCAACACACCGGCACCTGTTTCCACAGCTACCAACACATGCACCCCATCACCTCGCCACTCGGAACCTCAATCCTGACCCCAACAACACCTCCCCTAACACAGGCACCCCCCCCACCCACTTTCTGCCCTGCACCTTTATTGGGATCCATCTGCTTCCTGGGACACTCCCCCTTCTTCAGGGTGACGTCATCTATGGCGATATCCCCCAGGTATCCCGAGCCTCGGACACCCTCAAAAATAATCTGGGGTGGGATCAGAGAGCAGGGAGCGTGCTGAGGGAGGTTCTGCTCCCAGCCTTTACCCTCCATCTCCCAGGAAGGTCCCCCCATCCCTGCATGCTTTCCTCCTCAGCTCCCAGGAGCAGCCCCAGGCCGGGAGCGCTATAAGGAGAGGCGGGCCGGGGGACTCACCTGGAAGGGCCCGCTCGGGTTGATGGGCACATGCGCCTGCTGCCACACGTTGCCCTTATTGCCACTGAGGGACCAAGCGTGCGTGTCCAGGGCCCCTTTGTTCCGGGACCGCACCAGGAGGTTGAGGGAGCCTGTGTCGGGCGTGAGGAGAGGCGGCAGTGAGGGGCCACTCACCTTTCCCCATTCACCACCCTCTATTCCCTACCATGGCGTGCAGCACTACCCCCACCACATGGGACCTTCTCCACACTGCAGACTGGTCAGCACCCTGTTATCCCAAAGGGGACCTCAGCATGGGAAAGAGAGAAGACAGCGGCAGGGCTTCTGTTCATCAGGACAATTTGCAAAGTTTCTTTCATGTCTTCCCTTCCTTCCTAATCAGTAATTCCCCCCACCCTGGAACACACCCCCACCCTTCCTCCTCTAGGCAGGAGAGTTGTCCTAGGACACTGGGGCCCAAGTCTGAACACAAAGCAAGATTCCCAAAGCACACAGTGCACACACTTGGTGGTAGACGATGCTACTGCCACGATTTCTGGAAATAAGTGTGTGCTAAGTTGTTTCCCTTGTGTCTGACTCTTTGCAACCCCAAGGATTCCTCTGTCCATATAATGGCAGATACCAGTCATTATGCTGTGCTGAGTCGCTTCAGTCATGTCTGACTCTTTGCAACTCCATGGACTGTAGCCTGCCAGGCTCCTCTGTCTTTGGGGATTCTCCAGGCAAGAATACTGGAGTGGGTTGCCATCACCTTCTCCAGGGGATCTTCCCAACCCAGGGATCGAACCCATATCTCTTTACCAGGTGGGTTCTTTACCACTAGCACCACCAGGGAAGTCCCCTGAAGGTACAGGAACCAAGTTTAAGAATTTAATACTTGGAGGGTGGCGGGTGGGTGAAATGGGTGAAGAACTAAAAAGGGTTGAACTTCCAATTATAAAATAAGTCCTGGGGATGTAATGTAATGCTGACTACAGTTACTAATACTGTACTGCATATTTGAAAGTGTCCAAGAGAGTAGATCTTCAAAGTTCTCATCGTAAGGAAAAAAAATTCTGGTGATGGATATTAACTAGACTTATTGTAGCAATTATTTTGCAATATACACAAATGTCAAATCATTATGTTGTACATCTGGAACTAATATAATGTCAATTATACCTCAATAAAAATCTAATACTTATGTTTTAAGAGGTGAATAAAGTGAGCCCTTCAAACCCACAACTTCTCTAATATTGATGCTTAGGACAAAGCTAAGAAAAAAGAAGGTGACTTAAAGAAAGATATTAGTGTATGTGCTACATAGCTGTGGTAAAATGTGAAAATTTGAAGGTATTAACCTAGGGGGTGCTGAGCCCCTCGGCCCACAGACCCAGGGGCCCGGAATTGTGGAGGTGCTGACAGGCGATGGAAAAGGAGGAGTAGATGCAGCCTTGAGGAGGAGCACCCAGGCAAGGGCATGCCCCTTCATTGGCACTGTCAGCCTATCTCAAGGCCTCTGTGACATGAAGACCTGGCTCAGAGGGAAGGGGAATCAATCTTAGTTGGCACCTTGTGCCTGGCATTTTCATGGCACTGCCCACAGACAATGCCACACCATCTGTGATACCAGATAGACAGACCCCCGGTGGGGGAAGGCCACCAAATGTTACCTGCCTGAGAGCAAAGGAGTTGGCTTGGGCCAAGGAGAGCCAGCGAGACACAAGGTCTGGGGACAGCTGGTGCCTGGAGCTGCCAGGTGGGGTGGGAGGGGCAGGGAGAGGAGGGATCAGGACAGCAGGAAATGCCCACCCCTCCCCAGCAGCAGGCCCAGGCCTGGGGGAGGAACACACCAAAGATCCGAGGCCGGTGGGGACCCTTGCCAGCAGACAGAGCCCTCAGAGGACTACAGCCAGCACCCAGAGGGCCAGGAGGTGCCACACTGGCATAGGCAGGCCCCAGGCCCCAGTGCCTTTTGGGCTTCGCACCAGCCCCCAAGAGGACCTCCCTCTCTTCCCCCTTCTTGGAGATTTTTCTCCTATCCCAATCCCCAAACCCCCAGGGTCTAGCCTCAATCTTCAAACCTTTCCTTCCTCCTCCACCACCCTGTCCCAAGGACTCAAATGGGAGAACCCCACCTTTTCACTGTTCAAACTAAAACTGAAGCTCTGCCCCTTTTCCGGTCATTTCACCAGCTCCAAGATCTCCCCTCTTCCTGACAGCCTTTCACAGGGTCAGCCAGAGCCCTGCTCACTATGTTCTTCTTTGTCACCTCCGGAGCTGAACTGAGCTACAAGCTGCAGCCTGGATATAGTCCAGCTTTGCAGACCCTGGGTTTTGCCTGAGCTGCTCCCACTGCTTGAGATGCCCTCACTTACTATGTTCCCCTGACCAAGTCCTTTTTGTGCTTCAGGGTCTCTCTGAAACATCACCTCCTCCAGGAAGTCTTCCCAGGTGGGAGGTGAGAGCCCTCTGTGCTTCCTGTGAACTCTGAGACCTTCAACTGCAGCTCCCCTTGCCCAGAGCACTCCCTGCTCTGCGGAGTGATAGTTACTGGGATTCTCATCTTCTCTCATTTGACTCCAGAGGGAAAGCCCCCATCAAACTACTATCTGCTTTCAATATCTGAATGCTCAGTGAAGACCTCTTTATGTCATCAGGACTGAAAAGGGACTTTCATAGCATCTCAGAGTTAGAAGTTACCTCAGGGGTCATCAAGTCCAGCCTCCACTACCTCCCTTTCATTCACTCATTCACCTAATTGAGCAGGCTCTGTTCTAGACACCAGAGACACATCCATGAATAAGACAAGGAACCCTGCCTCCTGGAGCTTACGCTCTTTGGGCAGTAAGCACAATAAAGAACATAATGCAGGAAAGGGATGGAGAAGTGTCTTCTGTGGGGCTGTCAGAGACCTCTCCATGGAGACCGGAATGAGGCGGGAGAACATTCCAGGTCAGGGGGAACATCACAAGTAAAGGCCTGTAAGGCATGAAGAAACCTGCCTCAAATGTATAAAGAAAAGCAAGATCAGTGTGCTTGAGCTGAGCGGAGTCATGGGAGACCAGCAGAAAATGAGATCAGAGAAGCAGGCAGGGGTGGACCAGGTTTGGGAGGCCTGAAGAAGACAGTGAGGGAAGAGCGCTGAGCAGGGGAGTAACATTACCCGGTACAGGGGTCCCCTCCACAGCACCCCTGCTAGACGGTCCTCCTACCCAGGGACAGAATAGCCGACTCCTTTGCTGGGCAGATCCGGTGCTTATAGCATCTTCTTCAGGTGGAATTCAGGTCTGCCTCCCAGAAATTTTCAATGATTGGTGTTTGTCCCACCTACTGGGGGACACCTAGCAAGCTCTGGAACACAGACAGCTCCCTCAGGGCTTCCTCTGCTCCCAGGCACCCAGGCATCCCAGCTCTTAAAGCTTAATTTCCCAGGGCCTTACTGTATCTAACATGCTCTTCTTTCCAGCTGGGTCCCCCGTGCTCCTCCTGAGCTGAGGACAAAATGACCACCTTTCCTGGATTGCCTGGGATGTGGGAGTTCTAGTGCTAAAGGTGGGAAAGGCTGGGGCAAACCAGGATTGGTTTGAACTGGTTACTCTAGCTGGGCAGCATGGTCCTGTTCAACCCCACCCCTACCTATCTCACAGGAAGCTTCTCACAAAGTCCAGACCCAATCACGAGTGAACTGGCTTGTGCAGACAGCCTGGAGGACTCCAGCGGATGCAGAAGGTCCCATCCCCACCTCATTCTAGTTCATCAGTTTAGCCTGACCCATTGGTCCAGCTGTGGACACTTCACAATGAGCCTTTAGGTCTACACTTGGTTAAAGTCACTTCCTCTGCTGTGCGGCCAAGAACAATGAAGATTTCTGTGACCTCTTAAGGCATGATCGTCAAGAGGTAGTTTTGAGGGAAAAGCCAGGCACAGACACTGTATATAAAATGTGAGGAAACAGGATACATGTGTACTGGCTTCTATACACATAAAGCATTTCTGGAAGTGTGCTGCCCCCCCTCAAATCTAGTACCTGGTTGCCTCTGGAGAGGCACTCTAGGTGGCAGGAGGACTGGGATGGGAGGGGGACTCTCATTATGTACCTTTTGTACCTTCTGACTTGTGCAAAAGACATTACCTTTCCAGTAAATATGTAGACAAACAATATTAAAATTAAAATTGTCACTTCCTCAGCAGTCTTCCATAATCAGGTCCCCACAGTCAGTCAAGTCTCCCTGTTATTAGCTGTCTCAAGCCCCGTCCTGCCGTTGCAGACACACATCATGGTGGTCGCTAAATTCTAGCTGGCACAATTAGTTATTTAACATCTGTCTCTCCCACTTGACTGGAGGTGCCAAGAGGATAAGGAATCTGTCCATCCTGTTCTCTGAAGCACCTGAAGCCAGGCACAGAGCAGGACGTCTGGAAGTGATGGCTGAACTGACAAGTTCACTGACTAATGTGACGCCCTACCAGAGCCGGCTCTTCCCAAAGGGCACACTCCTTGGGTTCACAGTTGTGTGTAGGAAGTAGGACTTCCTCTCACTGCTCACAAAACAGCTCTTTTCCAAGCCTGTGTTTAGGGCTTGGGAGAGTCAGCAGAATCGGGCTGTTGTGTGATTTTGGGCATATGCTTAACCTCTCTGGTTTATATGGTAATACCTCACTCACTCGGTGGCTGTGAGCGTTAATGAGACCACAGATGCAGAGCATCCAGAAAGTCACCTGGCAGGCACTCAATACATGCAGCCTCTTAGCTGACTTCCCCATCCCCTCTAAGACTTCCACCTCATCCTGCTGAAGCCATTTTCTTTGCAGACTTGGGAAGCCTTGATCATCTCAAGACCTCAGACACGCTGGCTCTCTGGACCTCCCTCTTGCCCAGATTCTGCTCACGCTCTGTACAATCACACTCCCTGTGATCTGGCCGAGTGGGGAAGCCCAGGCCTTAGGCAGACCAGCCCCCAGCTTGCTGTGGCCGCCTGCCCCCTCCCAGCAGCAGCACTCGCTCGGGCAGGCTCCCTGGTCCTTCGACTCACCGATGTGCTTTCCGTACATGTGATAGAAGAAGGAGACGCAGTAGAACTTGGCGCTGGCGTTGTACAGGGGACTCACCAACCTCGCACGGTCTCCCAGCTCCCGGGGCCTTGACGTCTCAATGAACATGTAGTAGCCTGCAGAGAAGTTGATGTGCCAACACTCTCCTCCCAGCCCTCTTTCCACCTGACTCCTTTCCTGCCCTTGTATCAGCTATCTGAATCCCAGGTGCCTCACACCACCCCAATCTGTCCTCCCTGCCTCACAGCACAGGAGTCTGGGCCATCACTTGTGAGTTCTTAGCTCTGTGGCAGCTTCTCTTCTTGCTAATTCTCTAGCAGGTCAGGGCTGTGTCTCCCCTCAGACTGGGGCTCTCTGAGGCAGGGCCGTGTCTCCCCTCAGACTGGGGCTCTCTGAGACAGGGCCGTGTCTCCCCTCAGACTGGGGCTCTCTGAGGCAGGGCCGTGTCTCCCCTCAGACTGGGGCTCTCTGAGGCAGGGCCGTGTCTCCCCTCAGACTGGGGCTCTCTGAGGCAGGGCCATGTCTCCCCTCAGACTGGGGCTCCCTGAGGCAGGGCCGTGTCTCCCTCAGACTGGGGCTCCCTGAGGCCGGGCCGTCTCGCTTCAGACTGGGGCTCCTGGAGGCGGGGCTGTGTCTCCCCTCAGACTGGGGCTCCCTGGGGTGGGGCCGTGTCTCCCTGAGACTGGGGCTCCCTGAGGCAGGGCTGTGTCTCCCTTCAGACTGGGGCTCCCTGAGATAGAGCCGTGTCTCCCCTGAGACTGGGGCTCCCTGAGACAGGGGCGTGTCTCCCCTCAGACTGGGGCTCCCTGAGGCGGGGCCGTGTCTCCCCTCAGACTGGGGCTCCCTGAGGCAGGGCCGTGTCTCCCTGAGACTGGTGCTCCCTGAGTCAGGGCTGTGTCTCCCCTCAGACTGGGGCTCCTGGAGGCGGGGCTGTGTCTCCCCTCAGACTGGGGCTCCCTGGGGTGGGGCCGTGTCTCCCTGAGACTGGGGCTCCCTGAGGCAGGGCTGTGTCTCCCCTCAGACTGGTGCTCCCTGAGGACAGCGCTGTCTCCCCTCAGACTGGGGCTCCCCGGAGCTAGACCCCTCCCTGAAGCAGTTCTCCGTTCCGAGCAGCAGGCCATCTCCTCACCCTCAGGGGTGCCACTTATGTCAGTGGGGGGACCAGTGTTGGGGGAGCGCTTGGGGTTCTGGGTGAGGGCATTCTGCCGGGTCCAGTCAAAATTGTCTGTCAGGTCCTGGGTGTAGCCACAGATCTTCTCATCCTCAAAGTGGCAGGTGTTGTCTGCAGTTAGGGCAGGGTGCGGAGGGAGTGAGACAAAGAGGGTCAGCCTGCTCGAGTTCCCTCATGTAGTTTTAACTTCCTGGTCACCCCCGAGGCAGCTCCCAGACATCCAAGTAGTGGGTCCAGGATCCTAAGGCTCCAGAAACCAGGCAACAGGGCCCCTGACACATCTGTTCCCGGAACAGGACTTCTTAACCTTTTTGGTGCCACAAACCCTCTGATGGCTAATGAAGTTAAGGACCCCATCGCAGATTATTTAGGTGCATAAAATGAAAAGCATAGGGTTACAAAGGAAATCATATTATGCTGAAATAGTCATCAAAAAACAAATGCATGATATAATAACAAGTGGGCTTCTCTATTATCTAAATCACAAGATCTAGTGTTAGGTCTGAGCACTGTGGTTTTGAAATACTAATGAATGGAAATGATGTTTATAGATAGCTGCAACAACTTTTAGGCGATGTAAAAACACTGGATTTCCACTGGTGACAAAGTCAGTCAGGTAATGATTACACTACATTCCTACATGCATCATTGAAGGGGATGTTAAATTTCTGTGAGAAGTTAGGTAAAATAAAGAAGTACTTGTAGGCCCTTCCAGGTTCCAGTTTCATGGGCCCACCCTGATCATATGGGGGGGCAGTAAGTCCATGGATCTCAGATTAAGGACCCTTGCCCCAGGGAACAGAGAAGGTGGATTAACCTGATCTTTCCATTTTTCTTCTGGGGACAGTGAATGGTGCTAAGTGAGGACAAAGACCCTGAGTTAGAGATGTCCTCATGACTTCACCCTCCCTTCAAGCCTTTAAGCCCCAGAATAAAGCCTGCAAGCAAATATCTCCAAGCCCAGCCCTGCTCCCTCCTGCTTCTCCTGCCAATGGTGGGCCTCCACACTATTTTCTCTCTGGGTATCTCTTGGGGGTCCCTTCCTCCCTGCCAGGGGAACCTTTGTGATCCTAACGGTAAGGAGAAGTAGGCAGGGGTATCTCACCTGACAAACTGGGAGAGCTGATGGCTGAGAAAGCAAGCAGGAAAACCAAGTCAGAACCAAGGTGTGGGGCTGTGCAGAGGGTGCCTGGGCTTAGGACCAGGAAACAGGGTCCCCGGAGCAGGACTGGGGGCCAGAGGCACCTGGCCTGCAGTAACAGAGTAGGACACTGCAGGTTGGGGAACCCCAAGCTCAGGAACCATGCGGGAAATATGGAGGGGTCCCCTGAGCATGAGATGGGCCCACCTAGCCCACCGCCGCCGCCGCCACCACCACCTACGCTCCGTGTAGTGGATGATGCGGGAGGCCATATCTCCAGCCCCAAAAGTGGTGTAGGGCGTGAGGCGGACCTCGTAGCTGTGGGGCACTCGGAGGTCGGTCAGGATGTACTCCAGCAGCTGCCCCTTCTCCACACGCCGCACCGGGATGGCCTTCACCAGGGCGTTGTGCTGATTCAGCTGCAGATACAGGGAGTCCCAGATGCCCAACAGGCCACGCCCTCCACCTGAGCACCTGCCCAGACCCTGGTGTGACCCTGCGGGGGCAGCATCGAGGAGCAGAAAGAGCAAAGGACTAGGAAGCCAGGCCCTCAGTTTCCTCATCTGTAAAACAGAGCAATCACCCCTTCCACATGCCCCCTCCCGGGCTGTCTTGGGGCAATGGTAAAGAATCCACCTGCCAATGCAGGAGATGTAAGAGATGTTCGATCCCTGGGTCGGGAGGAAGAAATGGCAACCCACTCCAGTATTCTTGCCTGGAGAATCCCATGGATGGAGGAGCCTGGTGGGCTACAGTCCATGGGGTCGCAAAAGAGTCAGACACAACTGAGCACACACATGAACAAGTACTGAACAATTAATGTGTGCTAGGCACTGCTCCAAATGTGATGTGATTATTAACTTCTCAAGATAATGGCCCTATCAGGGGGAATATTATAACCACCCCGATTTTACAAATGAAGAAACTGAACCCAAACAGATGCAGCCTCCCCAAATTAAGACAGAATGGATGTTTACCTTAGGCGGTCTGCCCTGGGGTCACATGCTTACCCTCCACCCAACGACCCCATAGCTGGGCGGAACCACATGGAATGAGACTGGACAAGAGACCAGCAGGGTGGCTCTGGCCCTGCATCCTAGAGACCCTGTGGGTGAGACTTAAGCTCCTGCTTTAAGCTTCCGATGTAAGAGCAGATTCTGTGTTTTGTGAGCAGAAATGGCTCTGCTCCCTTCCCCCGCATGAACCCAACAGACTCCTGCCTAATTCCCAGGGCTGTGCGCAGAGCATGGGTTCAGCGGGGATAGGTCCCCAGAGCCTCCCAGCTCCTGCTGCTGTGTCCAGAACACTGTGGCTCCGGCTCAGAAGAGCCTTCTATAAGAGGGTCAATGTGTCTTCAACCCCCTCCCCTGGCTTGACAAGCACTCCCAGGGCCAGCCTGCACCTGGGCCCCTGTCCCCCTCGGCCCACCTGGCGGACACTGAGTCTGTAGTTGAGCACGGGGTCGACGGCGTCAGGCTCCCTCTGGGTCCACTGCAGCACGTAGGAGTAGTTCTTGGACAGCTTGTGGCTGCGGGTGGGGTTGGGGGTGTCGAAGTAAAACTCCGGGCTGTAGGCTTTGGCTGAGAGGGTGGGGAGCGGGGCACGGGGCCATGAAGGGTGGGGGGTGGGGAGAGACACAGAGAGAGGAGGCATGGGAGAGGGAGACAGAAGAGGATGGGCGGAACAGAGAGCGGGATGGGGGGAGACAAAAACAAGGAATATTGTGAGGAGAGGAGGCAGTGGGAGAAGAGGAGATTGGGAAGAATGAGGGTGGGAAGGGAAGGTGGCAGATGGAGGAAAGGGGGGTTGGGAATCCAAGAGGTGGTGTTGGTGAGGATGGAGCGGAAAGGCCAAGGAAAGGCCCGAAAAGAGAAACATGGGAGACAGAAAAGGGATGTGAGAGAAGACACCAAGAGGGGTCAAGGATTTTGAGGCAAAAGGAAGGGAAAAGAGACAGAGACCAAGAGGTGGGGAGACAGGGGAAGTGTGGGAGAACAGGGGAGAGGGGGAGGAGGTGGGAAATGTCACAGGGGCCTCTGGCTGGCAGGGCTGGGCGGGGTGGGGACAGACTGGGGAGGCGGCCGGTGACCTGCGGTCCTAGCCCCCACTGTTGAGTGAGGAGATCCAGAAAAGAGCTAAAGGGATGCCAGGCCAGGCAGGGGTTGTGGGGAGAGCCAGGGTGCGGTAAAATGGGGGACAGGAACATCCAGGCTCTCCTCGGGGCGCTGCTTCTGACAGGGAGCTGGCTTTCCCCACAAGAGGTGGACATGGGGTGGATCGGCAATCCCATCAGCTCCTTTCCTTTACCCTCTGCTCTCACCACGACCTCCACCCCTTTCTGCCCAGCTGCAGCCCCAAAGTGCCCTCTCGAATGACTTGAAGACATGGGACTGAAAGGGATTTCTGGGCGCCAAGGGGCTGGAATCTCTAGACAGTTCAGGAACTGTGTGCTGGCTGGCCCAGTGCCACCCTCCATGTTCCAGAGAAGCTGTAGGGGTCGGAGGTGGGCGGGGGGGAGGGGGGGGGGAACGGACGGTGGGTCTTCTCCCTTCCCCCCAAGCTACAGCCTGCAGTCAGGAAAAGATTCCCTATTTGCAGCTTCGGGGGCCAAGGACAAAGGAAGAGGGGCTTGAACAGTGATGACTGAGAGGGGGCGGAACCCAGGGCTTGAGCAGGTGAGTCTGAACTTTGTGGACCCAGCTGGAAAGACCGCGCTGCCTGCTGCACGAACAAGTGTAAGCAGAGAGCTGGAAGGGGCGAAGCCTGTGCCTCATACAGGCTGGGCGTGAGCGTGGTGAGAACCGGCAAGGGCTAGTACCCAAAGGCTCTGGAGGCGCGAAGCCTAGGCCTGGTGAAGGCTTGAGCAGGGGTGGGGCTGTCAGAGGCCAGGTCTGAATGGGGCGTGAAACGGGAAGGCCTAGACCTAGAGTGGACGTGTGGAGTGGGAAGGGCTGCGAGAGGATCTGAGGTTAGATCTGAGAGGCCTGCGCGGAGACTACACCTGGCATGCGCGGGTCCTGGCAAGGCAGGGCCCTAAACCGGGAGCACATGGACGGAAGGGGAGGGGCTCCAGGCCGGGAGTGGGCGGGGCTATAGTTGGGCGGGGGCGGGGCCCGGGTGGGCGGGGCCTGGGTGGGCGGGGCGGGGCCCGGGTGGGCGGGGCCGCCGGGACTCTCACCCGAGACCTGGAACAGGCAGGCGGCCGAGCCCACGTCGTTGGAGACGCTGCACTCGTAGCTGCCACTGCTCTCACGAGTGACGGCGTCGAGGCGTAGCTCGGAGTGGTCGGGGGCCTCGGCGGCGACGGGGACGGCAGGCGGCGGAGGCAGCAGCTGCCCCTTGAAGCGCCACACAGCCGAGGCGATGCGCTGGGGGCTGCCTCGAAGCAGCGAGCAGCGCAGGAGCACCGGCCGGCCCAGCGCCTGGCGCACGTCCTGGGAGCCGGGCTCCACCTCCGGCGGGACTGGGGGCGGGGGCGACGGTCAGCGGGGCCTCTCCCCACCGGGTCGGGTCTGAGGAGCTGCCCCTCGGGGAGGCGACGCATTCGCTCCTACGCCCGCGCCCCCCCTCCCCCCAGCCTGGAAGGGTCTCAGGGCGGACACACACAGCGTACCCAACAGCCACACCTCCCGACCTGCAGATGCTTACTCCTCCCCACCGTAACTTCCAGCCGAGCTTCCCAGAGGAGGCCTCTATTTGTGCCTCAAATGGTCCCCTCACCCCGTTTGATGAAAAGCAACGCAACGTCAGGTTTAGAGCATGGTCCCTGGAGCAAGATGGCTTAGATTCAAAGCCCAGGTCTGCCTCTAAATAGCTGTGAGATCTTAGGAAAGTTTCTTAATGTCTGTGTGACCCAGTTTCCCTATTTGTAAAAATGGGTGAATAATAGAATCTATACACAGAGCTGTGAAGGACTAGATGAGTTAGTTCATCAAAATACTCAGAACAGTGCCTGACACATGGCAGGCAGGTTAACTCTCGGGCTTCCCTGGTGGCCCGGAGAATAAAGAATTCTCCTGCAATACAGGAGACCTGGGTTCGATCCCTGGGTTGGGAAGCTCTCCTGGAGAAGGGTGTGGCAACCCACCCCAGTATTCCTGCCTGGAGAATCCCTGTGGGCAGAGGAGCCTGTCGGGCTACAGTCCATGGGGTTGCAAAGAGTCGGACACGACTGAGTGACTAAGCACACAGCACAGGTTAACTCTCATCATCACACTGAGGCAGTGTGTTCCCTTGAAGGCCCTTCCTCCTTCAAACTCTCCTTTCCACTTGTCAAAATCATTCTTTGCTCACTGTGCTCCTGGGAATGAAGATGAGGTGCAAATGCCGCAAGGGTCATGGGCCTCCACATCCTACAGCACGGGGGTCAAGGAGGGGTTGGGGTACCGGCAGTAGGCGGAGGGGTTTGGTCGGACGTGGAGGGTGTGGGTGAAGGGGTGAAGAGGGGCCAGGCCTGCCTGGAGACCCAAAGGGACAGCTCGGACGGTAGTCTGGGTGGGGTGGTGGGACTCACACTGGACGTTCAGCTGCACCTGGGCCTCTCGCGGGCGCACGTTGAAGCCATTATAGCGAGCGGTCTGGCAGCGGTAGGTCCCACTCATGTCGCGGCTCACGCGCTCCAGCCGCAGCTTCCCATCCGAGGTCTCCTCCAAGGGCAGCCCCGACGGCAGCAACGCGGCCTCCTTGTCCACGCGGGACCACAGCACAGGCGGCCGCGGCTTGCCTCGCACTTCGCACTGCAGCTCAGCAGGTGAGCCCTCGCGCACAGTCACCACGGCCCTGCCCTTGGGCACGCTGATGGTGGGCGGCACTGCGGGGGCCGGGGAGAGGTTAAGAGCCAAGTTAGAGCTTCCTCCGATCCCACCCCAACCCAGACTGCTGCTCTGGGGCGTCCGCTTCCCTCCCAGCACGTTCGAACCTCCCTTTCCCATCCCAGAGAGCCCACAGATCCTGCAGTTTCTTCAAAGTAGAACTCCTCTCCCCCAAACCCTCTCCACTTCCTGGGCCTCTACCTCTCAAGGTCTCCCAATTCAGAAAGAGTCCTGAAGTCGTCCAGGCCGATTCCTTTTATCCCCTAACCCCAACATTACTAAGTTTGGGGGATTCCATCTTTTATTCATTTATTTGGGGGACGGGGGTGGGGGGTTCCACTTTTTAAATAGTTCTGCTGAATAGCTTCTCCTTTAATCCCCTCTCTCCAGCCCACCCTCCCTGCTCTAGTGAAAGCTTCCATCTTCTCTTTCTGGAGTGTTATCACAGATTCATAGTCTGTTCCCCAGCATCCTCACCCTGCCTTCCAAAGTGATAGACTATCTGGGCTTTTGCAGGGCACACAGCCAGAATGAAGACTGCCTTATGGCTGGCTGTGGTCATGTGACTAAATTCTGGCCAAGTGGGTGGGGTCTTTAAAGGGAGAGGCTGTGCCTCTCTTCCTCCTTCCTGCAGGCTGGAATGCAGACTGATGGCTGCAGCTGGCACTGCTATTGTGGACGAGGCGGCACATGCTAAGGAGAACAGAATAGCAACATGAGATGCAGCTTGGGGCTCTGAGGACTTGATGGAGCAGAGCTACTATTCCAGCCTGGACTGCTCACTTTTACAAGAAGAAGAAATACACATATAGCTCATTTAAAGCCACTATTATTTAGGGTTTTTCTGTCATTCACAGCCAAAGCTAATCCAGCACAACACCTTGCCCAAATGAAGAGTCTTTTAAAGACTTCCAGAGAGAGGATATTTGTGTACACATAGCTGATTCACTTTGTTGTGCAGCAAAAACTAACACAACATTGTAAAGCAATTATACTCCAATTAAAAAAAAAAAACTTCCATGAGTCCCATCTCATATCACATCAAACAAATTAAAATGTCCACATTAAATATAAGTTGTAAATAACTCTACAAGGCAAGTTGAGGTCCAGTTATCTAGTTGGCATAGTTTGTACTCTGTAAACATTTATTCATTTATTGACTTTAATTCAGTAGTTTTCTTTTTGTATTTTGGAGCCAATTAATTTATTTTTCCAATTCTACTCCATTTCCATAGGTTCTTAAAAAGCTTCCATGCCCTAGGCATCAAGCTTATAAGCCAAGCGAAGGAAATGACCCTGTAACCTCATTGATTTCCCTGTTTCTAAAACATCCCAGTTCCCAACCCTGCTATGCCCCACAAGCTAAAGGGCTTGTCCCCCCTTTTTGAGGCCATCCTGCCCTCAGGTTAAAACTCAAACTCCTTGGCTCTGAAACAAGGCCCTTATGCTTTTACCTCTGTCAACCCTCAGCCTCATCTTCCCTTTCCCATCCTGAGTCCCAGCTGTGGGATCCACTTGTAAGGAACATACTTCCTGGATACAGCAAGTCTCATATATCTTGGGGGCTCCCTGTCCCTCCTCTCCTGGGCTTGTCCCCTACACCTGGGACATGGAACTTGGCTCCTCTAAGAAGTCTCTCCTGATGACCCCAGGCAGCCTGGTCCTCCTCTTATGTCCCCAGGATGCTCTGCAGACCCCATGTTTAGCTCCTGAGTCTTATCTAAGGCTTGTTCTTCCTTTTCCTGCACCTTGCCTGACACCTCCACAGCAGGTCTATCTCCCTGGCTAGGCAGTGAGCTCTGAGAATGGGGCTGTGGTGTTCATGGCTGGGTTCCCCAGCTCTTCACCCAGGACATGGCTCAGGATTTAAGAATCAGTTCTAATGAGATGGATGAAACTGGAGCCCATTATACAGAGTGAAGTAAGCCAGAAAGATAAAGACCATTACAGTATACTAACACATATATATGGAATTTAGAAAGATGGTAACGATAACCCTATATGCAAAACAGAAAAAGAGACACAGATGTACAGAACAGACTTGTGGACTCTGTGGGAGAAGGCGAGGGTGGGATGTTTCGAGAGAACAGCATCAAAACATGTATATTACCTAGGGTGAAACAGATCACCAGTCCAGGTTGGATGCATGAGACAAGTGCTCGGGGCTGGTGCACTGGGAAGACCCAGAGAGATCGGGTGGAAAGGGAGGTGGGAGGGGGGATCGGGATGGGGAATACATGTAAATCCATGGCTGATTCATGTCAATGTATGACAAAAACCACTACAATATTGTAAAATAATTAGCCTCCAACTAATAAAAATAAATGGAAAAAAAAAAAGAAATGGATTTGTGGAATCTGTGGGGCCTAGTTCACTCCCAAAGCCCAGCTCAGGTCTGCCTCCTTCTGGAAGCCTTTCCTGACGCCTCCAGGTTCACCAGGCTCCTCCCTGTTCAGGTATCCGGATGGGAAGGGCCTCCAAGGCCATCTGGTTCAGTGCCTCATAGAGGAGAGACTGAGGCCCAGAGAGTCAAAGAGGTTTAGCCAAAGTCAGCCAGCAACTCAATGCAAGGTAGTGGGGCTGGAGATGAGATTCCAGAGACGTTGTCCAGAGTCACTCCCTTCAAACTCTTTCCAAGTGTAAACCTTTCAGGGGTGGCTGAAGGCAAGATCTGCAGTCAGGCTGCCTGGGTTTGAATCCCAGCTCCACCACCTGTTGATGTGTTAACCTCTCTGAGCCCAAGTTTCTTCATCTCTAAAACCTGAAGATGAAACATCTACCCCACACAGTAAATCGTAAATGTGGATGAGATAAATACAAAATCATCAGAACACACAGTAAACACTCACTAAATGTTGGCTATTATTTCATTATCATTTTTTTTTATTATTGGTATAAAGACTCAAATTCTCTGCAAAATCTGGCCCCTGCCAACCTCTCCACTCTCATCTCCTTCCATTCTCCCAGCCACACTCTCCTTTCCAGGCTCCAAACGGTTCATGGACTTTCCTGCATCCATGCCTTTGCACATGCTGAGTCCTTGGCCTGCCTTTCTCTTCCACCTCTCTTGCTCTCTCGTGCCTACTAAAATCCTGCCCCTCCCTCAGATCTAGATCAAAGCTATCTTAGGAAACTCTTCCCTGACTCTCACGCATCACAGTTTGCAGTGATATCTTTATTTGTGGGATGACCTGAAACACATTTGCTAGTAAGTCCAGTGAGGGCAGAACCTGTTTTGCCCACCACTTTACTGCAGTGCCTAGCACAGTGCCTGGCATATAACACATGTTTAACAAATGCATGCAGCATGAACAAATGGTATCCTCCTCACCGTGGCCTCCCTTTCTCAAGCTGCTGCCCGCCTCCCCTCTGTGGGGCTCTTCAGCCCCTTCCATCCTCCCTGTTGCCCCCCAGCTCCGGCTGCCCACCTGTCTCAGAGGAGATGTTGACCTCGACACTCAGGTCGGGCACAGGTGCCCCCGGGAAGGAAGCCACACACAGGTAGGTGCCGTAGTCACTGAAGTGCAGGTCAATGAGCTCTAGGCTGCTGGTGACGGCAGGCAACTCAGGGTCATTGCGAGTCACCAGCAGCCTCTTGGACATGCGTGCTGGCTTGCCGTTCTTGAACCACTGGTAGGTCACCTTCTCCTGGGGCACGGCATCCACGTGGCATGACAGCTTCAGATCCTGGCCCAGCTGTATGTTCTCACTCTCTTTGATCACATCTGGGGTGATCTGGAATGTGGCGTTCTTCATGGCTGTGGGTGGAAGGGGAGGGAAGGGTGGCTGGGGCTGGCCCAAAGCCAGGATTCCCTGTCTCACCGCCACCATCTAGATGCGGCTTCTCGCCTCCAACTGGCCTTCCTGGAGGTCGGGGTCTACAACCCCATTCCCCAGGAGAAACCATCACGTTTTCTGCTTGGAAATTGTTCTGCTTGCTCAGATGTGTTTTCAAAAGTTCAAAAAAAGCTGGCTGTAGAAAAGTCAATTTAGTAATCAATACAGCCATGGTTGACCATACACTATGAGAGGCCCTGTTCTAAGCACCTAAAATGTGTTTCTTCATTTAGCCCACCCCACAATCTGTGAGGGAGGAATTTTATTGTCCCTGTTTTACAAAGAAGGGAACTGAGGCTCAGACAGTTTAATCCACTTGCTCAAAGAAGTAAATAGCCAAACTTGAATTCACACTCAGAGCCTATATTCTTAGCTACTATGCTGCTTTATATTTATTGTTGTTTTAAACCCAGAATATACAAAATTCAAATTTTGGAAGGAAGCACTAGAATGTAATACTGGTTATATGTAGAGAGTGGGACTGAAGGAAACTGAGGGGAGACTTTTAACTTGCCCTTTTATGCTGTTTAGTTCTTTGCAAGTTTGTGTCATTAAAAAAAAAAGACAAATACAATCATCTTACATGCAATTACATAAAAATACAGAGTTTAGAAAGAAAATGGTCTGGCCTCTTTTAGAAATCTGATTATGTTTTATGTATGCCAAGAGATAGAATGCTTAATATTAGGTGCTCATTGGAAAGGACTCTGATACAACAGCCATAAATCAGGACTGGGCTGAATAAAACAGGCTGTATGTCACCCCAAGAGGTGACCACAAGTATTTGATGTAAATAGCAATCTAATCAAGCCAGGTTTTAAAGGTCAAATGGAATCAGGTGGAGAAAAACAATCTTCTGATGGGAAAAGTACCATCAAAGGGAAAAACAGTCATTAGATAACCACAGTTTGACTATTATCTTTCTCATTACTTAATCAGAATTAAGTAAAAAGTCATAGAGCGCCAGCTTCTTTTTTGTGAGAAGAATCAGGGAGAGACTGGTCAGTGAGAGATCAACAAAGAAGAGTGTTCATTTCATCAGAAGATTCTCAATTGAATTTGACAAAAGCTGTATTTTACTTTCAAATGCTAAAAAGCTGGAAACAAGCCTGGCTCTTTAAAAAAAATCTTTAAAAATAAATTTTAAAACAGTAACCTAAAGCTGTACAAGCAGAAGAATTTAAAGGTTTCTCCTTATAGCAAAGCAGTAAAATCAAGATCTTATCAAGCAGCTAATGATCATTACTGAGGCTGAATTCTAGTTAGGAAAGTATCTGTACTTCTTTAGATTGTGCTCCAAGTTTTAATTATTTTTACATTTAGTAATTATCTTCATACTTACTGAAATGCTTTGCTAATAAAGATTTACATAGGATGCATGTGCAAATGTGTTTTATTTTCACTTTGATTCTACTAATGTTATAGAAACTTGTAGGGAGGAAGTCAGGAAATTTCTGTTAGAGACTAGAATGTCCAAATTTAGCCTCAGGCAGCCTCAGTTTCCCAATCTAAAAAAATTCAAAGTGATCAACACCAGCCCTTCCCACATCTTGGCTTGCTGAGGTTATATTTGAAAATGTAGATTATAAGCTGTAAATAAAACTCTATACATCATATTGTTAATTGGCTATACCCCAATTACAAAATAAAACATTAAAAAAAAAAAAAACTTTACACAAATTATAATCCTGCCATCTGCTGGCAGACACCTGAATTGCAGGGAAACTAAAGTGCCTGGAACCTTCCTCAGCCTCTCTCTCCTACCAAGGAAAAGAAGACAGGCCCCTTTCCCCTTCCAGTTCCTGAGCAACAGGAACCCAGTCTGCTTCCCAAGATCCCACCACCACCTTCCCCTCAAAGCCACGTACATCTGACCAGGAGGTTGACAGTCTTCTTGGCAGGGTTGCCCACATTGTTGGTAGCTGTGCAGTTGTAGTAGCCAGAGTCTCGGGCCTGCACTGAAGGGATGCTGAGGGTGCCACCCTGGGCCAGAGCACCCAGGGGCAGCGGGCCTGGCCCATGGGACCACTGCAGTTGGGGGAGGGGATCACCACCAGTCAGCAGACACTGGACTGTCACATTCTCCCCAGGGTTCACCACCAGAGTTTCGTTCACAGACAGCTTCAGGGCTGGAGGTGCTGGGAGGACAAGAATGGGGTCTCAGGGGACAGAGGCAAAGCTAGATGTGGGGGAGGAGAGGCAAGGAGGGAGAGCCTCTGGGGGAGGGGTGTTGTGGGGGAGGGGAGGAGGGAGCAGGCAGGAGGGAGGAGGGCACAGACTCGTGGTGATGTGCCTGGAGTCCTGCATAGGGTGGGCAGCATCTCCTGGTTGAGGATTCAGCACAGGTGGGCCAGGGGATGGGCAGGGAGGTGTCTGTACCCGTGGTGTTGGTGAGCTGGAAGGTGACAGCCTTGTCCGGGATGCCGCACACGTTTCGTACAGACACCTGGCAGGTGTAGCTGGCATAGTCCTGGGGCCGCAGATTCTTCAGCTTCAGGACCTTGGTCTCCCCCTGGGCAGCGACCACTAGGGTGAGGGGCCTGCTTGGGTCTCCAGGGGTCTCACACACATTCACCAAGCACCAGAGGCTGAAGCAAATTCCTATTCAGGACTGAGCCTGGAGTGGATGCCACACTCCCCATTCCCTGGGCTTGCATGGGTCCGAGGGTGTCCTGGTACACAATGGCCAGGGTCTGGCCTCAGTTTCCCCATTCGAGGAAATGGAAGGGTAAGGAGGGAATCCCGCCCTGTCTCACAATCCATACAAATACAGGGCTGGCCCTGCAGGCCATGGCCACATGTGGAGTCTTGACAGCTAGGAAAGCTGCCTCTGAAAGCTCTCCCCTGAAGGATGGCTTCATCACCATCTCCTGGGATGGCAGGAGACCCTTGGGGAGTGAGTCATCTTTATCCCACCCCCTCCTCTGCCTGCCATGGGTTCCCAAGACCCTGCCAGCCAGCGACAGGCGGGGATGACTTGTCTGCCTCCCAGGAATGCTTTCCTAATTGGCGATGTTCTTAAAGGGCTCTCCTGTCATCACGCTCCCTGACCTTTCGGTCTTGGTTCTGTCTACCCCAGGCTGTCTGAAGCCCAACCAGAATGCTTGCTGCTGATGTCAGAAGAAAATTGTTGGAGTCAGGGCAGTCCCTGGAACTCCAGGTGGTGAGGCCTCAGCCCCCCCTGCACCCCCCCTTTGTGGGGTACAGAAGGAAGAGTGTAGGGTAAGCCATGAGGAGGCCAAACCAGCTGCTGCCCGTCCTGACCTGGGTGTAGAGGGGCTCATAGATGTCAACCCCATTGTCCTGGCTGTGAGACAGGGTGTCGGAGCCCCGCTTCCAGATGAAACGGGCAGGTGGGTTGGAGTTGACCGTACAGCGCAGGAACACCGTCTTCTCCTGGTAGAAGTTGCCTCGGACATCGCTCACCGTCTGGTGCACCGTCAATACTGGCTCGTCCAGGTCTGCAAGGGCATAGTCCCAGTGGAGTCAGAGCTGCGTGACCCCTAGGTTCGGCGGGTAGGGGGCTTGAGCCCCTGGCAGCCCTCAGGCAAAGTTAAGCCACCCTCATAGGATGCTTCCAGAGAACCACATGTTCTGCCAGCCCTGAAGTCTGACCAACCTGTCAGAGACAGGGGACTGGACTTGTGGGCGTCTCAGCTATCCCTCCCCAGGGACCTGCACTGGGGGGTGGCGGGGGGCGGGGGGCTGTCTGTCTTCACCCTCCTATCACGGGATGGAGGGATCAGCTGAGACTGGAAATCAGGCCACGCCTGCCAGCTCCTTCACGCTGCAATAACTTGAGAAATGACCCTTGGCCCCAAAGCTTGGCAGACTCCTGGGTGGCTGATGGTGGATAAAAGAGAGGGCCTGGGGTTCCATTGCTCACCACTCTATCAGGTCCCACCTGGGGGGCAGGGGGTGTATTTAATAGGTAGGTTCATTGTAGGTGCCAAGATGATGGCCCCACAGGGCCTCTGGGTACCTAGGTCAGCCTGAACGGGGATAAAAGAGAGGGTCTGGGGTTCCATTGCTCACCACTCTATCAGGTCCCACCTGGGGGGCAGGGGGTGTATTTAATAGGTAGGTTCATTGTAGGTACTAAGATGGAAGCCCCACAGGGCTTCTGGGTACCTAGGTCGGCCTGAACGGACACAGAGGTGGGTGGTAAGCAGGCAGATAGCCTCCTGGGGTCAAGGGTAATCCATGGAGGGCAGGCAGGGATTGGGGGCTTCTCATTCAGCCAGCAGCAAGGACTGAGGGGTGTCTTGTCCTGCAAGTGTTGGGGTAGGGAAGTTTCAGAGCTGCCCGGGGACAAAAGCAGAGATATGAGGTGTGGTGGGAAGGGCAATGGACCACAGTCAAGAGACCTAGGCAGTGAGCAAGTCACAAGCCTTTGGTCTGTTTCTTCATCTGTGGAATGGGTATAACCCAACCTGTTCTGGCCTCCCTGACCATTTAACAGGGATGTTCCAAGGTTCATATTTGATTATGATGGGAATGGGTCAGGGTAGTGCAAATCAAAGGAACATCAAAGATGCCCTTCTCTAACCTGGAGGAGAGAGTCTCTACCATTGTTTTCCATGGAGGTGCCATGTTTCCACCCTTCTCCCCACTCCTGCTTCCCAGCCTGAGCCCCCAGGGGCAGGCCCCTGGCCCTGGGAACTGAGAAGGGTTCCAACTCACACTGCACGTCCACCCGGATGGACTTGATGGCGGGTACGCCCACGCCGTTCTCAGCCTTGCAGTAGTAGCGGCCACCCTGCGTGCGTGCAATGCGCTCGATGCGAAGCGTCTCATTGAACACCGACGTCTCCTGGAATTTGTCCGAAGCGCTCCCAGCTGTCTTAGTCCAACGCACCTGGGCCAGCCAGGCAGGGCACAATCGGACCAGCGCGGGGGCTTCCCGCCCACCCCCATACTTTTCCGCAAGTGCACGGGGGCTATGTGCAGGCCTGGGAAGTTAACCTAAACAGCCTCGAAGAAATGCACCCCGGAGGTGGGACCTCTCAGTGAAGAGCCTGGGCAATCTAGGGGCAGATGGAGGAGGTTTTTATAAAGGCAGTATGTGCAGTTGTTAAGAGAATCGATTTGTGGGCAAGTTACCCAACCCCTCCTGCCTGCCTTTCTGCATCTCTAAAATGGAAATATTACTCCCTTCCTGGGCTTACTGGGAAAACTAAACGAGTATATAGTTAGTGCCTGGAAGAGTAAGACTTTGATTAAACTTTTGTTATCCCACTTTTTAGCTTAGTGGCATGGGTAGTTTACTCATCTCCTAGTTTTAGATTTCTCATGTATGAAAGAGGTGTATGTGGTAGCCAGCCTCTACCATGGCCCCCAGTGGTCTCCACCTCCTCACGTTCACACCTTTCTGTAGTCCCCTCCCATTTTGTACCAGGAATGGTCCGTGTGACCAACAGAATTTGGCAGGAGTGATGGTGTGTCCCTGCTACTCCCATCTCACCACCCTCACCCTACCCTGAAAGACCCAGGGGTTACAAAACTTGGGGAAGACTACAGCAGCTTCAGGCCACTCAGACGTTGATCAGAGGGTGTTTGGAGAAAGAACAAGACCATGAAAAATATTTTTTTCTTTTTGTACTTGACATTTTGCAGTTTTACCATGATTTATCTAGATGGGGTTTGTTTACAAACTGCTTAGGGGCTGGTTTATCCATCAAAGAATTTATTGCATTCTTCAGTTCTACAAAATTCTCAGCCTTTATATCTCTTTAAAGATTGCCTCCTCTAAGTTTTCTCTAGTCCTTCTAGAATGCCTTGATTTATGTTATAGCTTCTCATTCTCCCAACTTCCTTTTCACACTTTGCATCTCTCTGTCTTCTCCAGACTGCATTGTAGCTGATTTGGATCTATCGTCCAATTCACCAGTTTCTTCTTTAGCTACGTCTATGGCTTTGAGGCCAAATTTTTCTGAAGACTGTATCATTTTTTACTTCTAGGGTTTCTATTTGCTTTTTTCCATATCCTTAACTGATCAGGTTTTATAATCTCCTGTCTTGTGGATTCTATTCCTTCCATTATCTCTTTAAACATTTTAAACATATTTATTTTAAGGATTCCCTCCAGATTGATCTATGATCTCTTGATTTCTCAGATGTGAGTTGTTCAATTATTTGGGGTCTATGGACTGACTCTCCCAGCACTGCATTTTAAGATGTTTTAAAATTTCATTCTGTGGGCTTGTATTCAGTAGGAATTACCTCAAAAGTCCCGCTTGGGCCCTGACAGGCCTGTCTGGGGTGTAACTATATGGCTGCCTACACCCAAGATATATGGATTCACAGGTTCAAACCAGTTTTTATATTAGTTTCACAGCTTAAGATTTCCTTACCACTTGGATAGTGCAAGATACAGACTGGATTAGGGTTATTTCCTCAAAGGTAACTCTGTTTGCATCCACACCCTGAAGCAAAAGTCTGCTCCCTGCTGTGACTCTGGGCTGTGGGGCAGAGATCTGGTGCCCATTTATAGGTGGTATCACTGGTATTAAGCTTCCAGTTTTAGGTAGAGGGTCCAGCTCCAGCTCCAGTCATAGACGAGCCTGTGGCCTCACCTCATAGCACCCACATGTATATTAATACTACTGTCTCTTAAGTGAGTATGTGTTTAAGTCCCTCCAAGGACCAGGTTCTTCAGCTTTTGCTCACTGCCACTGCTGTAGAGTTCTTCTCCCTTTTAGCCATAGACATTCCCTCTCTCTTGCTGTTAGTTGGGAGTAGGGAATTCCAGGCACACTCATTCCCCCATGTGACCACAAAGTGGGTCATGAGATGGTACTTGCTCCACCCCTAGCCTGTGGATGCTCCATGGCAATGGGAACTGCAGCTGTATCCTCAGGACCCATCAGAGTACTTGGCACATAGCAGGTGCTCAATATTTATTGCAAGGGAATGAGCAAAAAAGGCACTGGAAAGCATTTCAGAAGAGGTAAAGACCAGTGGCTAAGGACTTCCCTGGCAGCCTAGTGGTTAAGACTCCATGCTTCCAATACAGGGGCACAGGTTGGATCTCTGGTCAGGGAATGAAGATCCCAGATGCCACACGGTGAAGTCAAAAAAAAAAGAGAGAGAGAAGGTGAGCAGTGGCTACAGCAAGAATGAACAGGGTGTTTCTAGACAGGTTCACCAAAGACAGTGTGTGAGGAGGATGGATGTGGGAGATCAGACAGGACAGGTAGGTGGGGGCTGGATTGTGGGAGGTCTTCCTTTCCACCCCTAGGAGCCTGAACTGGGTCTGGTAGGTGATGCGGATCCATGTGGGCAGGGGAGTGATACAGTGTAGCAGGTCTGAGGATGGTGACTCTGGGAACAGGGTGCAGGAATGGATTGGGGGAGGGGATGGGAGAACGGGAGGCCAGTCAGAGTCTACTGCCATAGTCCAAGGGACAGGGCTGAAGGTCTGACCTCAAGGGGTAACGAGGAATAGAAGGAGATCCACGCAAGAGACATAAAAAGATAGGCCTCAGAGCCTGGCTGCAGGTGGACAATGATATGGGGCTGAGTCAAGTATGAGCCCAAGGTACTGAACCTAGGTAGCAGGAAGAACAATGAAACTATAAACGGGAATAGAAAACGGGTGCATGGACACACAGTCACACCATGAATGACTCTTACATGCGATGCACAAGGGGGACACCCACAGGTGGTCAGTGCAGCCTTAGGGAGAGCTTAGGGTTAGGCTTCAGAGAGGACCATCCCTAAAGTCACACCTGGAAAAGCAGATCCTGAAGACTGGCGGCATTGTTTTCACTTCCAAACAAATCCTTAAGAAGGAGCAAGCAGTGATGATAGTTTCAGACTAAAACCTTTGGGGGTTTCTTGTTCTGCTTGTCTTAAGGTCAAACCTACTAAAGCTGCCCCTGTTCCCAATATTATCCCCCCAAAAAAAGAACTTTGCAATCACTGTGCTTCCTAGGAGCCAACCAAAACCTTTTCTGCTGCTTTTAAAGGTCACAGCAGCTCACCAGCAAATTCCACCTGTCCCTTCAGCCCATCCTCCTACCTCTTCCTGTCAGCTCTCAGTGATAACCAGCCAACACTTCCTGCCTGAAATATACAGTTGGTCTGGGACAAAATTCACACCTGGCTTTTCCAGATACCCATCTTCCGTGGGGTTTGCATACTGGAAACCTCCTGAAGCAGTGATTATATTACGTGTTTTCTGTTTGCTTGTTGTTGTTGTTTGCAATTGTGTTATATGTTGCTGGTAACTCCTGGGTCCCCCAACCGAAAGAGGAAGTGTGCTAAGCCATAGAGAACGCTGGTTCTGGATTCAAATTCTGCTTCGGCCCTCACAAGTGCTGGGTGACCTTGGGAGTTTACCTAACCTCTCTGATCCTCGATTTCCTCAGCTTAAAATGGAGGCCCTAATGCCTTCCTCATAACCTGGCTGTGGGACTTCAAAGAGGAAACACTGGAGAAAGTATCTAGCACAGCACTTGGCACACGGTCTGCCTTCACGCAGTGGCTGAAGGTTTATCGGCAGGCGCGTTTGCTCAGCAGGTACCGGGAATGGAGTGGGATGGAACAACTGGCATCAGCTGTCAGTGTTTCCAGGTGAATAAGCCCACAGTCTAGCCCTTCCCCACAGAGTCTATTTTCCAGCCATTTCCCCAGCCCCAGGCTCCTGTCTTCTGCTGACCTGCTACCATCTGCCTCCAGCCTCAGGCCCCACTGCCTCTTCTGATCCTGGAGTGGGGTGGGGAGTGAGGAGGCGAGGGCAGGGGGGTACCCACGAGCCAGGGTGGGGGCTTACCTGGGGCCGAGGGTGCCCAGTGACGAGGCACTGCAGCACAAGGGTGTCCCCCTCCCGGATGGTGTAGACGCGCTCACTGATGTTGTCCTCTTTCACCACACATGCCTGGCCCGCGTGCATGATCTGAGCCTGGGCTGGAGCTGGCGGGAGACGGGGAGGTTTAGACAGGAGGCTCGGAGGCCAGAGGAGGTCTGAGGCCTGGAGGCCAGAGGTGGTCTAAGGCTCCTTCCTGAGTATGTCACCCAGAACTCCCCAGCATATCCCTCAGAGGCTTCATCCCACTGAGCTCCTCCTGGAGCCCTTAGGCCAGAACCAGAAGGGTCAAGGACTCAGGAAACGGGCAATTCCTCCCCATCCCACTGCTCTTGCAAGAGATCTGTGCCCCTTGGTGCTTCCCTGGTGGCCAGTGGGTAAGACTCCACGCTCCCAATGCAGGGGACTGGGGTTTGATCCCTGGTCAGGGAACTAGATCCCCCACGCCACAACTAAGAGTCCACGTGCTGCAACGAAGATGGACGATCCCGTGTGCTGCAACTAAGACCCGGCACAGCCAAATAAAAAAATAAAAATATTTTAAAGAGAGAGAGGGGTGCTTTTCAACGAGCCAAGGATTGTGAGGAGGCTTGGTAATCTGTGCAAATTGGTTACCACTCAATGAGCATCATGTCTTAGACCCCAGTCGTGGAGGCTGCTCTCCACATCTGGCAGGAGCCTCCATTCCCAGCTTCGGAGTCAGCTCCGAGGCACGCAGAGCTCACCTGCCCCAAGGAATTGCCTTCAGACAGTGAGCACTGCCTGGACCAAACATGCCTAGGAGGTCACCCCTTGCCCAACACCCCCCGACACATACACACACCAGTGACTGATGGACATGATGCAAAGGCCCAGCCGTCTTGCCTCAAGTGGGGTGACTATGGTTCCGCTCACGCTCCAGAGCCCTTCTGCCCCCACCCCTGGGAACTGGCTGAGACTAAGTCAACTAAACCGCATTGTCACCCAGCTGTTTCCCTCCTCCCCTTTCAGTTTGTCCTGGAAGCACTTTCTCAGCAAATCACTTGCCTGAACTCACTCCCATCAACCACTCCAGGCTCAACTTTTAGTGAACCTGACCAAGAGATCCCCCAGCCCCACAGACAGCACATCACTCCCCTCACCCAGAGGCCTGTTACCGTTCCCTCATTGCTCGCGGAACCTATGCCAGCCTCCTCTCCAAGGGACAGAAGTCTTCACCGGGGGACCTGGAAGTTCTCCTAAGACTACATGTCCTCCTTGACCCTCTCACAGTGCCTGGGGGCTGGGGTCTGGCCAGGGCTGGGGGACCAAAGGGAAAATGATGGAACTGGAGAAGTTCACAGCCCTCCTTTGGTGTCTTAACCCCACTATCCTGAAAGCAAACCAGCCCCCAGCCCACCAGTACTTGGGCTCTGGGAAAGAGGGCAAGACTTCAAGTTCAAACATGTCTGCTCACAGATGAGGGTGGACGAGGTGGAGGCAGGAGAGCTAATTCAGAGTACGAGGGACACAATAGGGTGAAATCTTGAGTCTTTGGCCTAAAGAGGCGTAGGGAGATAAAACCTGTCCATACAACATGTAACGTCCTCCAGGAAGCATTCCATGATTGACCTACATCCTCCCTGCTTCTGCATCCATCACTTTTCCAGCACAACAACAAAGCATCAATCTGTGTGACTATCAAACTCAGGATTCTCATCTTTCTGCCTACCCAACCATGAGCTTACATTGGTACCCCCAGCCTTGAATATAGCAGGTACTCAGTGAACACTGAATGAATGAATGGATAGGAATATTTGATGATGAAGGTGCTAAGCATTGTAAAAGAGGTAAAGAAAGCCTTAGGAAGTCAGGAGAGAAAGACATCACTGCTGGGGGAAGAATCACAGAAGGCTCTGTGGAAGAGGGAGCTTTTGAACCAGTCCTCAAGGAATAGGGGGGCTTCCTGCAGGTTGACAGGGCAGTCTAATATTCCATATTACCCAGGGTAAAACACTAGTGATCTCTGGACCTTCATTTTCTTATCTCTAAGATGAGAGAATGCTACCAACCCTGACAACTCACAAGGGCAGAAGTGATGATACGTGCGTGCTAAGTCGCCTCAGTTGTGTCCAACTCTTTGCGACCCCATGGACTACAGCTAGGCTCCTCTGCCCATGGGATTCTCCAAGCAAGAATAATGGAGTGGGTTGCCATGCCCTCCTCCAGGGGATCTTCCTGACCCAGGGATCGAATCTGCCATCTCTTACATCTCCTGCATTGGCAGGCAGGTTCCTTACCACTAGCACCACCTGGGAAGCCCCCAGGAGTGATGATAACACAGGATAAATGAGAAGTGCTTAGTAGAGCTCTGATGTGTTCTTACTGTTGTCACAAGTAGTACCTTAATTTACAGAGTCTCTCCAACCAACACTGACAGGACAGTCATGAACTAATGACAGAGATAGGTCCACAGAGCCCGGCCACAGGTCAAGAAGCTGCGGAGGGTGGGGGCGGGTTTCGGGGAGCAACCAATGGGAGTGACGTAGGTTGGGTTTAACCACGAGAGTCTCTGCAAACAGCAGCAGGTTCTGCAAACAGTGGCAGCTGCCACCACCCCAGAGTCTGAGTGTCCAGTCTGGCAGCCCTGGAGGAATGAACCTAGGTTAGTGGTCAGGAGACAAGCTGTGTAACCTGGGGCAAGGACCTCAGTTTCCCCACCTGTAGGAGGTGGGTGTACTAGATAACTTCTGACATCTTTTTTCAATTCATACTTTCTATGAATTTTATCAATAGCACGTAGTCCCTGTGTAAGGTGCACCCTGGAATCTGAAGAACAAGTCTGAAACTGTCACCCCCTGAAATGGAAATACTTTGGAAGAGAGAGCCATCTGTGGCCAAGGTCCTCAGGAAATCTCATCAAGAAGCAACCCACCAATGTATAATGTGTGTGCCAGTTGGTGGTAAGACCAGAGGCTGCCTGGATGTCTGCAAGAGGCCTGAAGTGCCTCTCAACAAGGAAGACATCGACTTAACAGGCTCCAGTGGAAGATAAGCTGTAATCTTGGACAGCATGGCTTGCCCAGAGCCAGGCAGTGTTGTAATGACAGATGCTTTGGTGACTGATAAGGAATTCTGAAAGGGAGTTAGAGAGCTGAACTTTCTCAGGGCCTGGACAGCACAAGCCAGAAAAGATGGGGCCTGACCCGCAGACACAAGGCTTCTGACTGCCTGACAGGTTTGCTTCCTCATTGGCCATGGGGCTATGAGTTGGCATCATGGATGATGATGTCATTAAGATTACCCAACTTCTTTTAATGACATTAACCACTAAGACTATCCAACTCTAAAATGGTAGAACCTCTTTGGAAGAGACTTTGGCAGCACCGACACAGGCTAAAGACTGCTGCGGAAGCTGAAGCTCCAATACTTTGGCCACCTGATACAAACAGCCAACTCATCGGAAAAGACCCTGATGCTGGGAAAGACTGACAGTAAGAAGAGAAGCGGGTGACAGAGGATGAGATGGTTGGATGGCATCACCAACTCAGTGGACATGAGTTTGAACAAACTCTGGGAGATAGCAAAGGACAGGGAAGCCTGGTGTGCTGCCATTCATGGTGTGGCAATGATACAACTGAGTAATGGAACAAACAAAACTCAGGTTAAAAAAAGCATATACTCCATGACACAGGAATACCACTTCTGGGTATGTACACAATAGAAAATAGTGCCTGACAACCGAACAATAGGTCCGAGAATATTCACAATAGCTTTATTCATTACAACTAAAAACAAGAAGCAGCTCCCATGTCCATCAAGAGCAACAAGGGTGAATTAATTCTCACATGGAATACGAATGAAACACAATGGAATATTACACAGAAGTTAAAAAAGAACTATGGGTAGACACAACACAACACTGTTGAATCTCACAGCACAATCTGAGTGAAAGAATTCAAGACATAAAAGAGGATCCAGTGTATGGTTTCATATATTTGAAATTCAGAGCTGAAAAAACCAATCTTATGGTAACAGAGGTCTAAGCCGTGGTTGCCCTTGGGTGGAGGTGAGGGAATATTTACTGAGAAGGCACAAGGAGAAACTTCTGGGGAGGAGATGGGATCTCATCTAATGAGAAGGAAATATTCATAGCCCTAATCTGAGTGGTTGTTATAAGGATGGATGCACATGTAAAAAGGCACCAAGGTATTTGCTTAAGATTTTACTGTATCACTTTTATTAGATAAAGAAAGAGCATACATCCACCTCCCTTTGACGACATTGTCCACTGAGGTTATCCAGTTTCCTCAATCACCCTCTCCCTTTATTCCAAGTCCTTCTTGATGAGCCGCTTCCCATGACCGACTTCTTCCCAGTATAGATGTTCCTTCTGGAGCAAGTGCTGGCTAGTTGCAAGGCACCCAGGACCCCTTGGGCTTCCCAGGTGGTGCTAGTGGTAAAGAACCCAAGTGCCAATGCAGGAGACATCAGAGACACGGGTTCCATCCCTGGGTCAGGAAGATCTGCTGGAGAGGAAATGACAACCCACTCCAGTATTCTTGTCTGGAGAATCCCATGGGCAGAGGAACATGGTGGACTACAGTCCATGGGATTGCAAAGCGTAGGACATGGCTGAAGCGACTTAGCACACGCACACACACATAGGCCCCCTTGGCCTAGGCATTCCAATATGCCCATCACCCCCACCGTTTCATTAACATGAGTCAGCCTCCCCGACTCTGCTTACCCCCAGAATGGCTAGAACTATGTTTCTGACCCTAAACCAACAGAGATCCCACCAAGTTACAGTCCCCCCCAAAAGGGGTTGTGTCCCACTGAGTCTCAGACTCTCGCTCCACACACCCCAGGAAGGCACTGCCAGCAAACAGCATCTTCTCATTCCAAAGGCAACCAGGCCAGGGCCTGAGTCAAGAGGCACCATGACATAATCCCTTCATTCAGTCTATCGAACGACAAATGCTTCCAGCCGGCCGCTGTGCTGGATGCTCAAGAGACTGTCATGAAAAGCAAACAAGGCCCAGCTCTGAAAGAGCACTCTTGGGGAGACGGATGGCAAAGAAGGAAACAGAAATGAACAGGATGGTTTCAGAGTGTGGTTATTGCTAGGACGACCCTGAAGCAGGGG